GAGTCAAATGCATGGGAGGAATCGCAGAATAATGAATACTAACAAAAACACATGTATTTTTCATAATTTTATTTTCTCATAAAAGCAACCTATGTGCAATGGCCCTAGGTGGAAATTCAAAACTATACTCTACTACACCATTTAATTGCACACCAAATTTGGCTAACTAATCAGCCACCACATTCCCTTCTCTAAATCACATTATGCCTTTCATCACATTTCTATTCTTTTTTTTATACTATATAATTCTTTATCTCCTCAACACAAAATTGATTTTTCATTAATACATGTATCTAAAGTTTTGACCACTTTTAAAAGTTTTTTTTTTCTTTGAAAATTTTAATTGTATTTAGTTTAATTTTAGGATAAAGTTAAATATACTTTTAGATCTCACAAGATTCGGTCAAAATTGATTTTAATCCCTATATTTTATTAACAAGTTCAACATATATAGTTCATAGATTTTATAGTTGAATTTGTTAGGAATATGATTTTTTAAACTATAATATTGATATAAAATACTCGTTATTGAAAGTAATGAATAATCTTTGTAGGATATCATAAGCACATATACAACAAATATTTCTCTTTTAACATAATTTATTGCATACTTAAGATCAAGAATGTGATAATCATGTTTATAAAAAAGATTCTTTTTAAAGGAAACAAAACTTACTTTGATGATCTTTATACTTTTGAAAGAAATTAATTAATATTTGATTATTGATTAGGGAATAAATATATTGAAGAAAAGAATGCTCTATATAGTAAAAAATGGTAGTTTAATCCTTATATTTATAAAAATGTAATGAATTTCGTCCTTGGTCAAGTCAAACTAATATATATATATATAGAGAGAGAAAATTTAACACATTTCATTTTTCACATTTTATTTTTAAATTTTTTTACATATACGATGTATAGGTGTTTATTAATTATTATAAAAAAAATTCTTCCTAATATATATTTAAAAATCTTTCTCCTTAGTAACATGATGTAATATAGTTAATAAATAACTATACTTCTTAAACATTTGGAGTGAAAAAAAATAAAAATTCCTTCTTTACATGAACAACTGATTTCGTTTAACTAGCTAGCTAGGTGCTAGTTTAAGTGATACCAACTTCAATTTTCACCTATTTTGTTTTGTACTCAAATTAATTCTGAACTAATAATGTAAAAAAAAAAAAAAAAAAGTTAAACCATTTCGATTATAAACTTCTAAAATCAAAACAAAAGAATGAATAAAAATTTAATGCTTCATATATATATGAATTTAATTAGAATATATTCATCATCTAATTAATTATCACAACTTATCAAGTATATGTGTGAACGGGAACTAAACTAGCTATTTCAAGGTGACAGTAGAACTAAACTAGTTAGTTTTATTTTCAATTTTTCATTACTTACATATTATACCTTTAAAATGAAAAGTTAGCTGCATCATATTCAATGCATGATCTCTATATCAACCATATAATATACTATAATCATTCGTATAAGTGGGTGTTCTCAGTGTGGTTGAAAAGGAAGGAATTGAGTCAGAAGAGATAAAACTTAGGTAACTCGATCTTTATCGCGTTTTTATAGTCTTTTTATGAATAAAAATAATAATAATTGAGTGTTCACACAGAGCAAGAAAAAGAAAAAAAAAGTGAGGGTTCATCAATGACAAGTGACTCCGTTAGTTTATTAGTTATGTGTTTAATAAATATATAAACATACTAGCTAGCTAGTAGTGTAAAAAAATATTATTAATTAATCGAAAATTTATTTTAATTTAATATTAAGCATAATTATTATTAAACTAATAAATTCACTATGCATAATCATTTATAATCTATATTAATAATAAAAAAATTACTCTATTTTGTGTACACCATTTTCTTTTATTTATTTTATCTTTGATAACAATTAAAAATTGTCATAAAAATAAAGTTAGTAAAAAATGTTATTTTCTTGTTTTACTACATAAGCATGGAGTCCCCCCCTTTTTTTTTTCACGGCTAGATATAGTACTAATATAAATAATTTATAAAAAAAGAATATTTTGTTCATAAATTAATTGATTATGTTAGTGGTGGTATATGCCCAACAAAAGCATAAAGTGTGGAAAAGTCTTGTCCCCACACTTATCTTTCCGTTGATCTACACTTTTTTGTTTCATCACATAAAACAAATTGAATTAATATCAATCACAATCAAACTTGGATATCTTGATCAGTTATTTTATTTTTTTAAAGATATCTGGGGAGTTATTTCTGAATGATCACAACCATATCCTCACTACCATTCAATATTTTCTCAATATCTTCACAAACTATCACAACAAGTTTCCTTAGGTTTTCCCACAGGAACCTCAGATCATACAATTACAATCCAAAACATACAATTGATCATACATTCAAACAATTCATGTCATTAGAAATGTGTAAGAAAGAACAAGAGACAAAACATACGCATTTGGAAAAAATTCCTCATACATAGACATACAACATACACAAGATTGGGGGCTAATGTCACTACCAAACATACAATCCCACACTCAAAGTGAGGTTTCTCACTCCCCCTTACCTTGATAAGTAGAAGAATAAGGATGCACGGTTTCAAGGGTGGTTTCCTTCTAGCTTTTGTTCTCCGAACTCTGAAACGCGAAAGAATGTGTATGTAAAAATGAAAGAAGCGTAAAATGATTAAGAGAAAACTATTCTTTTACAAATCCTTTCCCTTTTATTTAATTAAAATAAAGCATTTAATTGAAATATTTAATTAAAACACCTTGTATAATATTTCAAAAGTCAAAACATGTCAAGTAATTAAAATAATTATTAACATAACTCTATTAATTAAGACAAACATACCAAAAATATTTATTAAATATTTATATTATATTTTATGAAAAACGGGATGTTACAACTTTTCTCTCCTTTTAGAAATTTTGTCCTTGAAATTACTTGAAGAAAACAAAAATGGATACACTTCTCACATTTGACTCTCTAACTCCCACGTAGCACTTTCTTCGATATCGCCTCCCCAAACGACTTTGACTAGGAGAATTTCCTTTCCTCTTAATTAGTTGTTTCACCCTCCTATCCTCGATCCCCAAAGGAATCGTTTCATAGGTAAAATTATCCTTCAACTGAATGTTATCAGGCTCAACAATATGGGATGGGTCATGAATGTATTTTTGAAGTTGGAAAACATGAAATACATCATGTAAATTAGAAAGCGACAGAGGCAAAGCAATTTGGTAAACAACATTAATTACCAATCTTCTTAAGGATTTGGTAGGGACTAATGAATCGTTAAGTATGCTTACAAGATTTAAATGATCTACCAACTCTAATCCAATAAGTTACCTTAAGGAATACATGGTCTCCCTCTTTAAACTTAAGGTCTTTCTTTCTCTTATCATGGTAGCTCTTTTGCCCACTCTATAGGATACTCTCATTCTATATTGGATTAATCTCACATTCTCAATAGTTTGCTGAACTACCTCAAGTCCTAGCATGGAACTCTCCTTAGGTTTTACCCAACATAAGGGTGTTCTACATCTCCTACCATAGAGTTCCTTATAGGGTGTCATCCCAATACTGGAATGGTGCCTATTATTAAAGGTAAACTTTATCAAATGTAGAAGACTATTGAAACTACCTCTATGTTGTAAGACACATGCTCTTAACAATTCCTCTAGAGACTGAATGATTCTCTTGATTTGACCATCTGTTTGAAGGTGATAGGCTAAACTCAACCTAAGCTTGGTATCTAAAGCCTTATGCAAACTCTCCCAAAATCTAAAGGTAAACCTCGAGTCTCTATCAAAAACTATACTAAAAGAACTCCATGTAACCTTGCAATCTCACCTATATATGTACAACTTGGTCAACCTCTTTAAAGGATATCTAATATTGATAGGGATAATTATTACTGACGTTACCATTACTATCGTTGTCATTATTGTTATTTTTGTTTCAATTACTATTGTTACCATTATTCCTATTGTTTTCATTATTATCACTTCACCACTATAGTATACAATAAAAATATTTCTTTTATGTGAGAAATGATAATATTTTTTATATGAAAAGGGAGAATGATCAATCTCAACTTTTTAATTAAAACAAATGACATGAAAATTAAAAAGACTCACTTAATCATCATCATTATTACTAATAATGATGACGATAATAATATAGTGTGATGTTATATAATAGTAACAACACTTAAGTGATCACAATACGATGGAGACATTGATAACTATTATGGTGAGAATGTTAATGATAAGTATTATAGTTGTGATTTAAATAATTTTTCTAATCTAAACTATTTATTTAATTAAAGAGTTGGTATTGACTATTTTTATTCTTAATAAAAAGTCAAACTCATAATATATATCCCCATAAATTATATATACAAATTAAGAATAACCAATATATACTTTAGTAGTATAAAAATTATGTACACTATTATTTGATCATACATTAATACCTATCTTAAATTATTGACTTTCACAACAATTACATTAAAAATTATATTTACCATAATTTTTTTAAGTGAATGACAATACAAAAATTTAATGATACAAAAATAATTAAACTTATCAACAAAATTTATATTAATTTAATTTTTTTTTAATATTCTATTAATATAATTAAAATTAGCATATTACATACTTTTTAAAGCATATAAAATGAAAGTTATTTAATTATACACTTATAATTATTTAATTTTGATAACATTCGATGCAAACAATCATGACAAAACATATAGTTGTTACTTAATACTTTGATGAATAAAAAAATGTTACTCTAAATTTATTAAAATCTCAACATTGTTTTATAAACGATTACATTTGTATTTTATGATTTCAAATTCATTAACTAAATTCTACCTCAAACACTTTGTAAAGACTGATCTGCCCCTCCCTATGAGTCATGAAAGCATCCATATAGCCACATGCATGCATTAAGTGCAACACTGGAGGTGTTTGTAGGTGATCATTTCCGTCTCCTACAGCCACATGAGATCATGACCTTCACCTTGACTTTGTATGGTAAATAAAGGTATATATCATCCAAATTAGTGAAAGATGTGTGTTTGCTCTTCTGTGAAGCCAAAGCCACAACCTCAACAACAACAACAACCTTGGTAATTAACCATGGAGACCACTGATGACTCATCCACCACTTCACAACAACAACCGAACCTGCCACCTGGGTTTCGGTTCCACCCCACAGACGAAGAGCTTGTGGTTCATTACCTCAAGAAGAAAGTTGATTCTATTCCTCTCCCTGTTTCAATCATCGCTGATGTTGATCTCTACAAGTTTGATCCATGGGAATTACCAGGTGCATGTGTCTCCAATTTCACCCATATAACTACTATATGCTTTTCACTTTTCAAATTCATATCTTCAACCTCTATTATACCTCAAATTTCCAAGATCTTTTTAGATCAACCCTACTTTTTATTTCTATTTATTTTCTAATGGATCACATGTATTTTTCATCAAAGTCAACAATTCTGTCCAACTGAATTATTCTTCAAAATATTAAGATTTAATAGTATCTTCAAAATTTAATTTTTAATTGAGTCCGATAACGATGTTGTGACCTCTCACCAGATGAAATAAGATTGTTATATTGTAATTGATGATGGAAAATGAAATGGGTATTTAAGTTTTTTATTTTTATTCTTTTTCTTTGTTTTTTTCTCATTTTTTTTTATTTTGTTTGTTTTGCAGGTAAGGCATCGTTTGGGGAGGAGGAGTGGTACTTCTTCAGCCCGAGAGACAGGAAGTACCCGAATGGTGCGAGGCCAAACAGGGCTGCAACTTCAGGGTATTGGAAAGCTACTGGGACAGATAAGCCTGTGTGCAGTGGAACTCACAAGGTTGGAGTGAAGAAATCTTTGGTTTTCTATGGAGGGAAGCCACCAAAAGGGGTCAAAACTGATTGGATCATGCATGAGTATCGTCTTGCTGATACCAAGCCTAACAATAAGCCTCCGGGGTGTGACTTGGGCCACAAGAAAAACTCCCTAAGGGTAAACCCTTTTTCGTGATGTAAAAAGTTTTTGCTTTATTGTTCTGCTTCACTTTTGAGTTGAGCATATCATGCACACAACTTTTTCCGCCCACTAGAGCCTCTCCTCATTCACCAATTCTTGCACAAAATACAACCAATTAAAAGTTAGGATATGTTAAAATAATAGCATAAGCCTATCTTTGTGCTTTTAGGCACATTGTTAAACCAAGATTTGCTTTCTTTTAAGAAAAAAAAATATTCTTCAACACCCCAAATGCTATTAGGTATCTAGTGAGAGAAAAAATTGTATATTGATATAATAGGTGATATAATGTGATAAGAAAAAAAAAATAGAAAGAAAACAAAAAGTTTTGATAATGTGTTTTAAAAACTTGGATATGTTCAGAAATCGTTGCTTTTCCGGCATGTATTTTTAGTTCTTTCTGTTAGAATGTGAATCCTTGCTATGCATCGGTGAATTCTGAGGGAAAATAATAGTTTATATGAATAAAAATATATAGATTAAATAAGATTTTTTTGTTGTTGTTGTTGCAATAAGACATTTAATTTAACATATTACTATAGAAGAATAACATATGAATCTGATATGAATTTGTAGCTGGATGATTGGGTGTTGTGCCGGATCTACAAGAAGGGTAACACACAAAGGTCACCTATGGACCATGACAAGGATGATTCCATGGATGACATGATTGCAGAAGTACCCTCTTCCATCAACGTGGGCCACATGAATGCGAGGTTTCACCTTTCCACGAGCTACAGTGGTGCATTGTTGGAAAATGACAGAAACACGTTAGAAGGTGTGGTTATAGGCAATGGTGTGAATGTGAATGGGATCAGCACTACAACAAGTGCCATATCATCTCAGTATGGCACCACCTCAAACTCCAAGCCAGACCTTCCTTTTGCAACTTCAAACAATAACACTTTAGCCTCCAAAAGAACACTCTCATCACTCTATTGGAATGATCATGATCATCATGAGGATGTTGTGAATGCCACATCGTGTGATCACAAACACTTCAATTTAGACAGTAATGGGAATGTGACTGTTTTGAGGACTGAAGAGAATACTGACAACAATGGCTCCTTTGCTACTCTGCTTAACCACTTCCCTCAAGCACCTTATCAAATACAAGGGACCAATTGGTATGGTTAACTCCATTTTATGTCTCTATATATATTATATATAAACTTCATTTTGAAGGGTATAATAAATAATTAATTGAGTGGCTGCATGACGAACTACACAGCCTATAGCATTTATTTTGAACAGTGTAGGCGTAGACATCCCAATCATATTTGGATAAAGATTCCATAGAGTTGTAATGCATTGGTGCAGTTCAGACTTTCACCTTTCACTTAGAATGAGTTGAATGATCGATCCAAGGAGTGTTTACGGTGGAGATTGAATGCAGTTTTCGTAAAACTGTAAACGATCTGATATCATCATAGCTTTTGGTAAGAAAATGAGAAATGGAAAATGGCATTGTCTGAGTGGTCCCATGCTACGTGTCAAGTTTATATGGCTAGGAATCTTACGTGTCGCAGTCTCAACGGCCAAAGTTCGAGTTATTATTCATCAGTTGCCACCCACCTCTTTCTTTTGCAACCGCCGTCCTTTTCCTACATCAACTCAATAACTTCAAATCATACAATGTTAGTTATTATATTTTTTTTTCCTAATAATTATACCCCAAAAAAAAAAATTAAGTTTTTAATATATATAAGGGACATAATGTGAAAATAGTTTTCTTAAGTCAATGAGAAATAGTCAATTCAATTATTAAAGTAAAATATTTAAAATCACATTATTTTATTGTTAAAAAATAATTATACAGTAATATTCGTCTTATAATAACACAAAAAATTGTCACTAAAAATTATTTTTATTTATATAATAAATATAATATATGTTGATATATTGTTAAAAAAATTTAGTATAGATTATACTGACACAAAAAATATATTGTTAAATTTTATTAAGAATTACATTAAACTTGTGTGTAACTATATATGTCAAATAATAAATATATTCCTACATATATTATACTTATAGTGACATTTTTTGTATATCACTGTATGTAATATTTCTTGTAGTATATTATTACTATTGTCATAATCGTGATTATCATATATAGTGTAACATTGTGAATTTTGTTAATAATTATTGATTTTATTAATTTAATTGATATCGTGATTAATGTTTTAATAGTTGAAAAACTTTAAGGATTGAGAAATTTTTATAAGTATAGTTTATGAGTTATTTTGAGTTGAGGTCAAAGTTGACCAAGTTTTGAAAAATATATATAAGGTTTTCCTTAAGGCTTAAATTTTATAAGTTCATTTCTTACAAACCTAGAGAGAAGTTAGAGAGAGGAACTATAGAGCCTAAGAGATTCCCTTCTTTCAAGTCTATTAGAGATTCAAAGTTTCTAGAGTTGAAAATCAGAAACCTTGGAGTGGTTGTCCATAGTTCTTTGGAGGATCTCATCCTTCTTCTTCTTCCTCTATTCTAGGCAATCAAAAGTAAAAGAAGCTTGTTGGTTATTGATTTGTTATTGTTGTTTATTTGCCTAGATTCATCATTTCATGACTGTATCATTGAATTGAGATATGGAATGAAGTTGAGTTTTGAGTGTTTATGCTCTCGAAAGAAAATGATTATATATCTTTGGCCTTTTCTATGATTGCATGTTGTTTTTATTGATGGAAATGAATTGGTAGTCACATATAGATGTTATTTGGTGCATATTGCATGTTGGTTGTAGCTGGTTTTCAGGTGGATAATGCCAAATTCACGATTTTGCCTAGTGCATAAATCATTGTGCAAGGCACAACTTCATGACGTTGAGCATAAGGCAAGTTAATGACTCTCTATCTCACTAACGTCAAGTGCATGATTGGTAGTGTTAGTCGATTGAGAGCTCTTTGACTTGTCAATGTTAGACATGGGTTGAATGTGACATCCTCTACCCCACATACTATAACAAATAATAATAAAAACTAAACAAAGTAACTCTTCATAATTAATAACCAAACATGTTCATATAAGAATGCAAATTAGATAGCCAAACACAAACAAACACACAATAAGATGTAGCATACACAGACAAACATTATAACCATAATCATTCAATCATAACATAATAACTAATAATAGTTACATTATAATGCATTATGCAATGGACACAAACTATATGCTATCATGCATGTAACGCTAATAAAAACATCATACTTATGAATTGTTGCCAACAATACACGTATAGTAGATTAGGAGTACATGTCAAATCATGCCCTCTACGCACTTTCAATAAAAGGACGTACTATTAGGGTCAAGTCAGGATGACTAAGTCATGTAAGATACATTCCATGCTCATGAGAGAAAGATAGAGACTTCCAAATCGAGCTATCCTCAAGGACCGATGCCTAATCTTTTACACAATGGGTCTTCCCTGATGATGTATTTCATATCGTACCATCAAAACACATTTTTTTTTTTTGCGAATGATGCATATGCCAAATAGACTTAATGCAATAACATACACATGATCTCACTTCACATATTCTTCATATCACCTCATATATCCCATGTACATTCTCAAATACATCAATTAATCATTAGTAAAAAGGTAATATCAAGATCACAAGAATAAAACAACCATCTAACATGTCATTGAGCAAGCTGAGCTCCTTAAAGTCTCTCGTTGAGCAAATAACATCTAGCTAAGCCACCAGCATCTAGTTGAGCCACCAACACCTAGTTGAATGACCAACATCTAGCTGAGCGAGCCAAGGCTTCTTCTTGAGTAACCAACATCTAGTTGAGTGATTTAAGTCCCCTAAGGTTTTTTGTAGCGAGCTGAGTTTGGGGCTTTTACCTGAGTGACCTTACACGTCTTGCTAAGCGAGAACATGATCTTCCTCCTTAGAAATCTTGTCTCGTCAGTGACTACAAGTTACCCACATCCAATTTTACACATAAACACATATACAATCAATAAAATTGCTCTATAACATGCAATTAACATTTCAAATCACTCAATTTACACATGTCAATCAATATCTTCACAAACTATCACAACAAGTTTCCTTAGGTTTTCCCACAGGAACCTCAGATCATACAATTACAATCCAAAACATACAATTGATCATACATTCAAACAATTCATGTCATTAGAAATGTGTAAGAAAGAACAAGAGACAAAACATACGCATTTGGAAAAAATTCCTCATACATAGACATACAACATACTATATATATTATATATAAACTTCATTTTGAAGGGTATAATAAATAATTAATTGAGTGGCTGCATGACGAACTACACAGCCTATAGCATTTATTTTGAACAGTGTAGGCGTAGACATCCCAATCATATTTGGATAAAGATTCCATAGAGTTGTAATGCATTGGTGCAGTTCAGACTTTCACCTTTCACTTAGAATGAGTTGAATGATCGATCCAAGGAGTGTTTACGGTGGAGATTGAATGCAGTTTTCGTAAAACTGTAAACGATCTGATATCATCATAGCTTTTGGTAAGAAAATGAGAAATGGAAAATGGCATTGTCTGAGTGGTCCCATGCTACGTGTCAAGTTTATATGGCTAGGAATCTTACGTGTCGCAGTCTCAACGGCCAAAGTTCGAGTTATTATTCATCAGTTGCCACCCACCTCTTTCTTTTGCAACCGCCGTCCTTTTCCTACATCAACTCAATAACTTCAAATCATACAATGTTAGTTATTATATTTTTTTTTCCTAATAATTATACCCCAAAAAAAAAAATTAAGTTTTTAATATATATAAGGGACATAATGTGAAAATAGTTTTCTTAAGTCAATGAGAAATAGTCAATTCAATTATTAAAGTAAAATATTTAAAATCACATTATTTTATTGTTAAAAAATAATTATACAGTAATATTCGTCTTATAATAACACAAAAAATTGTCACTAAAAATTATTTTTATTTATATAATAAATATAATATATGTTGATATATTGTTAAAAAAATTTAGTATAGATTATACTGACACAAAAAATATATTGTTAAATTTTATTAAGAATTACATTAAACTTGTGTGTAACTATATATGTCAAATAATAAATATATTCCTACATATATTATACTTATAGTGACATTTTTTGTATATCACTGTATGTAATATTTCTTGTAGTATATTATTACTATTGTCATAATCGTGATTATCATATATAGTGTAACATTGTGAATTTTGTTAATAATTATTGATTTTATTAATTTAATTGATATCGTGATTAATGTTTTAATAGTTGAAAAACTTTAAGGATTGAGAAATTTTTATAAGTATAGTTTATGAGTTATTTTGAGTTGAGGTCAAAGTTGACCAAGTTTTGAAAAATATATATAAGGTTTTCCTTAAGGCTTAAATTTTATAAGTTCATTTCTTACAAACCTAGAGAGAAGTTAGAGAGAGGAACTATAGAGCCTAAGAGATTCCCTTCTTTCAAGTCTATTAGAGATTCAAAGTTTCTAGAGTTGAAAATCAGAAACCTTGGAGTGGTTGTCCATAGTTCTTTGGAGGATCTCATCCTTCTTCTTCTTCCTCTATTCTAGGCAATCAAAAGTAAAAGAAGCTTGTTGGTTATTGATTTGTTATTGTTGTTTATTTGCCTAGATTCATCATTTCATGACTGTATCATTGAATTGAGATATGGAATGAAGTTGAGTTTTGAGTGTTTATGCTCTCGAAAGAAAATGATTATATATCTTTGGCCTTTTCTATGATTGCATGTTGTTTTTATTGATGGAAATGAATTGGTAGTCACATATAGATGTTATTTGGTGCATATTGCATGTTGGTTGTAGCTGGTTTTCAGGTGGATAATGCCAAATTCACGATTTTGCCTAGTGCATAAATCATTGTGCAAGGCACAACTTCATGACGTTGAGCATAAGGCAAGTTAATGACTCTCTATCTCACTAACGTCAAGTGCATGATTGGTAGTGTTAGTCGATTGAGAGCTCTTTGACTTGTCAATGTTAGACATGGGTTGAATGTGACATCCTCTACCCCACATACTATAACAAATAATAATAAAAACTAAACAAAGTAACTCTTCATAATTAATAACCAAACATGTTCATATAAGAATGCAAATTAGATAGCCAAACACAAACAAACACACAATAAGATGTAGCATACACAGACAAACATTATAACCATAATCATTCAATCATAACATAATAACTAATAATAGTTACATTATAATGCATTATGCAATGGACACAAACTATATGCTATCATGCATGTAACGCTAATAAAAACATCATACTTATGAATTGTTGCCAACAATACACGTATAGTAGATTAGGAGTACATGTCAAATCATGCCCTCTACGCACTTTCAATAAAAGGACGTACTATTAGGGTCAAGTCAGGATGACTAAGTCATGTAAGATACATTCCATGCTCATGAGAGAAAGATAGAGACTTCCAAATCGAGCTATCCTCAAGGACCGATGCCTAATCTTTTACACAATGGGTCTTCCCTGATGATGTATTTCATATCGTACCATCAAAACACATTTTTTTTTTTTGCGAATGATGCATATGCCAAATAGACTTAATGCAATAACATACACATGATCTCACTTCACATATTCTTCATATCACCTCATATATCCCATGTACATTCTCAAATACATCAATTAATCATTAGTAAAAAGGTAATATCAAGATCACAAGAATAAAACAACCATCTAACATGTCATTGAGCAAGCTGAGCTCCTTAAAGTCTCTCGTTGAGCAAATAACATCTAGCTAAGCCACCAGCATCTAGTTGAGCCACCAACACCTAGTTGAATGACCAACATCTAGCTGAGCGAGCCAAGGCTTCTTCTTGAGTAACCAACATCTAGTTGAGTGATTTAAGTCCCCTAAGGTTTTTTGTAGCGAGCTGAGTTTGGGGCTTTTACCTGAGTGACCTTACACGTCTTGCTAAGCGAGAACATGATCTTCCTCCTTAGAAATCTTGTCTCGTCAGTGACTACAAGTTACCCACATCCAATTTTACACATAAACACATATACAATCAATAAAATTGCTCTATAACATGCAATTAACATTTCAAATCACTCAATTTACACATGTCAATCAATATCTTCACAAACTATCACAACAAGTTTCCTTAGGTTTTCCCACAGGAACCTCAGATCATACAATTACAATCCAAAACATACAATTGATCATACATTCAAACAATTCATGTCATTAGAAATGTGTAAGAAAGAACAAGAGACAAAACATACGCATTTGGAAAAAATTCCTCATACATAGACATACAACATACACAAGATTGGGGGCTAATGTCACTACCAAACATACAATCCCACACTCAAAGTGAGGTTTCTCACTCCCCCTTACCTTGATAAGTAGAAGAATAAGGATGCACGGTTTCAAGGGTGGTTTCCTTCTAGCTTTTGTTCTCCGAACTCTGAAACGCGAAAGAATGTGTATGTAAAAATGAAAGAAGCGTAAAATGATTAAGAGAAAACTATTCTTTTACAAATCCTTTCCCTTTTATTTAATTAAAATAAAGCATTTAATTGAAATATTTAATTAAAACACCTTGTATAATATTTCAAAAGTCAAAACATGTCAAGTAATTAAAATAATTATTAACATAACTCTATTAATTAAGACAAACATACCAAAAATATTTATTAAATATTTATATTATATTTTATGAAAAACGGGATGTTACAACTTTTCTCTCCTTTTAGAAATTTTGTCCTTGAAATTACTTGAAGAAAACAAAAATGGATACACTTCTCACATTTGACTCTCTAACTCCCACGTAGCACTTTCTTCGATATCGCCTCCCCAAACGACTTTGACTAGGAGAATTTCCTTTCCTCTTAATTAGTTGTTTCACCCTCCTATCCTCGATCCCCAAAGGAATCGTTTCATAGGTAAAATTATCCTTCAACTGAATGTTATCAGGCTCAACAATATGGGATGGGTCATGAATGTATTTTTGAAGTTGGAAAACATGAAATACATCATGTAAATTAGAAAGCGACAGAGGCAAAGCAATTTGGTAAACAACATTAATTACCAATCTTCTTAAGGATTTGGTAGGGACTAATGAATCGTTAAGTATGCTTACAAGATTTAAATGATCTACCAACTCTAATCCAATAAGTTACCTTAAGGAATACATGGTCTCCCTCTTTAAACTTAAGGTCTTTCTTTCTCTTATCATGGTAGCTCTTTTGCCCACTCTATAGGATACTCTCATTCTATATTGGATTAATCTCACATTCTCAATAGTTTGCTGAACTACCTCAAGTCCTAGCATGGAACTCTCCTTAGGTTTTACCCAACATAAGGGTGTTCTACATCTCCTACCATAGAGTTCCTTATAGGGTGTCATCCCAATACTGGAATGGTGCCTATTATTAAAGGTAAACTTTATCAAATGTAGAAGACTATTGAAACTACCTCTATGTTGTAAGACACATGCTCTTAACAATTCCTCTAGAGACTGAATGATTCTCTTGATTTGACCATCTGTTTGAAGGTGATAGGCTAAACTCAACCTAAGCTTGGTATCTAAAGCCTTATGCAAACTCTCCCAAAATCTAAAGGTAAACCTCGAGTCTCTATCAAAAACTATACTAAAAGAACTCCATGTAACCTTGCAATCTCACCTATATATGTACAACTTGGTCAACCTCTTTAAAGGATATCTAATATTGATAGGGATAATTATTACTGACGTTACCATTACTATCGTTGTCATTATTGTTATTTTTGTTTCAATTACTATTGTTACCATTATTCCTATTGTTTTCATTATTATCACTTCACCACTATAGTATACAATAAAAATATTTCTTTTATGTGAGAAATGATAATATTTTTTATATGAAAAGGGAGAATGATCAATCTCAACTTTTTAATTAAAACAAATGACATGAAAATTAAAAAGACTCACTTAATCATCATCATTATTACTAATAATGATGACGATAATAATATAGTGTGATGTTATATAATAGTAACAACACTTAAGTGATCACAATACGATGGAGACATTGATAACTATTATGGTGAGAATGTTAATGATAAGTATTATAGTTGTGATTTAAATAATTTTTCTAATCTAAACTATTTATTTAATTAAAGAGTTGGTATTGACTATTTTTATTCTTAATAAAAAGTCAAACTCATAATATATATCCCCATAAATTATATATACAAATTAAGAATAACCAATATATACTTTAGTAGTATAAAAATTATGTACACTATTATTTGATCATACATTAATACCTATCTTAAATTATTGACTTTCACAACAATTACATTAAAAATTATATTTACCATAATTTTTTTAAGTGAATGACAATACAAAAATTTAATGATACAAAAATAATTAAACTTATCAACAAAATTTATATTAATTTAATTTTTTTTTAATATTCTATTAATATAATTAAAATTAGCATATTACATACTTTTTAAAGCATATAAAATGAAAGTTATTTAATTATACACTTATAATTATTTAATTTTGATAACATTCGATGCAAACAATCATGACAAAACATATAGTTGTTACTTAATACTTTGATGAATAAAAAAATGTTACTCTAAATTTATTAAAATCTCAACATTGTTTTATAAACGATTACATTTGTATTTTATGATTTCAAATTCATTAACTAAATTCTACCTCAAACACTTTGTAAAGACTGATCTGCCCCTCCCTATGAGTCATGAAAGCATCCATATAGCCACATGCATGCATTAAGTGCAACACTGGAGGTGTTTGTAGGTGATCATTTCCGTCTCCTACAGCCACATGAGATCATGACCTTCACCTTGACTTTGTATGGTAAATAAAGGTATATATCATCCAAATTAGTGAAAGATGTGTGTTTGCTCTTCTGTGAAGCCAAAGCCACAACCTCAACAACAACAACAACCTTGGTAATTAACCATGGAGACCACTGATGACTCATCCACCACTTCACAACAACAACCGAACCTGCCACCTGGGTTTCGGTTCCACCCCACAGACGAAGAGCTTGTGGTTCATTACCTCAAGAAGAAAGTTGATTCTATTCCTCTCCCTGTTTCAATCATCGCTGATGTTGATCTCTACAAGTTTGATCCATGGGAATTACCAGGTGCATGTGTCTCCAATTTCACCCATATAACTACTATATGCTTTTCACTTTTCAAATTCATATCTTCAACCTCTATTATACCTCAAATTTCCAAGATCTTTTTAGATCAACCCTACTTTTTATTTCTATTTATTTTCTAATGGATCACATGTATTTTTCATCAAAGTCAACAATTCTGTCCAACTGAATTATTCTTCAAAATATTAAGATTTAATAGTATCTTCAAAATTTAATTTTTAATTGAGTCCGATAACGATGTTGTGACCTCTCACCAGATGAAATAAGATTGTTATATTGTAATTGATGATGGAAAATGAAATGGGTATTTAAGTTTTTTATTTTTATTCTTTTTCTTTGTTTTTTTCTCATTTTTTTTTATTTTGTTTGTTTTGCAGGTAAGGCATCGTTTGGGGAGGAGGAGTGGTACTTCTTCAGCCCGAGAGACAGGAAGTACCCGAATGGTGCGAGGCCAAACAGGGCTGCAACTTCAGGGTATTGGAAAGCTACTGGGACAGATAAGCCTGTGTGCAGTGGAACTCACAAGGTTGGAGTGAAGAAATCTTTGGTTTTCTATGGAGGGAAGCCACCAAAAGGGGTCAAAACTGATTGGATCATGCATGAGTATCGTCTTGCTGATACCAAGCCTAACAATAAGCCTCCGGGGTGTGACTTGGGCCACAAGAAAAACTCCCTAAGGGTAAACCCTTTTTCGTGATGTAAAAAGTTTTTGCTTTATTGTTCTGCTTCACTTTTGAGTTGAGCATATCATGCACACAACTTTTTCCGCCCACTAGAGCCTCTCCTCATTCACCAATTCTTGCACAAAATACAACCAATTAAAAGTTAGGATATGTTAAAATAATAGCATAAGCCTATCTTTGTGCTTTTAGGCACATTGTTAAACCAAGATTTGCTTTCTTTTAAGAAAAAAAAATATTCTTCAACACCCCAAATGCTATTAGGTATCTAGTGAGAGAAAAAATTGTATATTGATATAATAGGTGATATAATGTGATAAGAAAAAAAAAATAGAAAGAAAACAAAAAGTTTTGATAATGTGTTTTAAAAACTTGGATATGTTCAGAAATCGTTGCTTTTCCGGCATGTATTTTTAGTTCTTTCTGTTAGAATGTGAATCCTTGCTATGCATCGGTGAATTCTGAGGGAAAATAATAGTTTATATGAATAAAAATATATAGATTAAATAAGATTTTTTTGTTGTTGTTGTTGCAATAAGACATTTAATTTAACATATTACTATAGAAGAATAACATATGAATCTGATATGAATTTGTAGCTGGATGATTGGGTGTTGTGCCGGATCTACAAGAAGGGTAACACACAAAGGTCACCTATGGACCATGACAAGGATGATTCCATGGATGACATGATTGCAGAAGTACCCTCTTCCATCAACGTGGGCCACATGAATGCGAGGTTTCACCTTTCCACGAGCTACAGTGGTGCATTGTTGGAAAATGACAGAAACACGTTAGAAGGTGTGGTTATAGGCAATGGTGTGAATGTGAATGGGATCAGCACTACAACAAGTGCCATATCATCTCAGTATGGCACCACCTCAAACTCCAAGCCAGACCTTCCTTTTGCAACTTCAAACAATAACACTTTAGCCTCCAAAAGAACACTCTCATCACTCTATTGGAATGATCATGATCATCATGAGGATGTTGTGAATGCCACATCGTGTGATCACAAACACTTCAATTTAGACAGTAATGGGAATGTGACTGTTTTGAGGACTGAAGAGAATACTGACAACAATGGCTCCTTTGCTACTCTGCTTAACCACTTCCCTCAAGCACCTTATCAAATACAAGGGACCAATTGGTATGGTTAACTCCATTTTATGTCTCTTGTGGCTATGCTATGATATATGATAATTATAATGCACAAGGAGAAGTTAATTGACTAAGATGAGGCAAGGAATCCTCAACTTGTGCTAGCTAGATTGCAAGGATCACTTTTAAAGGGCTATTGAGATTGTGGTTATTTAATTGTATGGAAAGTGGAAGCACCTAATCAATATTTTCCTTCAACCATTTGCAGGTAGCTCAAAGGCAATTAATACCACATGATGGTGAGGGCTGAGCCTGGTACTTTTAGTTTTATATATAGACCAATATTGATATATATAGATAGATATATATAGAGATAGAAATAGATATAGATAAAGAGAAATATTTGCTTGTTTTATTGGTGAGTAAAGAAACAAAATGAGGGTGCTCTTTCTGTACAAAATATTTCGAGGGTAAAAGAAAGAGTTACCCATAAAAATATATATATATATATATACTTTGCTTTAGGATATATACAAAATGAAGAATATAGAATATATACTTCAGAACGATATATATTGATGCAAGATTTTTAACTTTTAAATATGTATATTGATTTTCTTTTGTGGTTTGTCGATCTATTTATCTATATCTTGTTGAAAACCTTGATATTGATCTAATTTTTATTTGATTTTATTATCACCAAATTGTTAAATACTTTGCTTTAGGATATATACAAAATGAAGAATATAGAATATATACTTCAGAACGATATATATTGATGCAAGATTTTTAACTTTTAAATATGTATATTGATTTTCTTTTGTGGTTTGTCGATCTATTTATCTATATCTTGTTGAAAACCTTGATATTGATCTAATTTTTATTTGATTTTATTATCACCAAATTGTTAATTAAGCTAAGGGATTTTGTGTCACGTCTTTGCAAGTAACCTAGGTAACCTAGATATGTCTTTATTACATTAGCATTGTTAATATCTCTATCCTTTGGCATGAAGGATTACAGAATCTAAAGCAGCTAGAATGTGTATCAAACACAAACATACAAAAAAGTATGCAGTATTATTTTGTTTATTAATAAACAATAATTTTCACGGCTTCTGTCTTCTTGTACTATATAGGGGCCCCTTCTGTACAAAAAAATAAAAAAATATAATCATGTGTGCAACTGCAATGCAATCTTCTGTGAAAGACATTTCGATTAATACACCAATTATGAGAGAAGGGTTCTGAATTTTGTCCCAGTTGATCACATATTCTTTGAAAACGAAATGTTTGTCATAACTTGTATTCTATATATCTGATGATATTAACTTTCTCTTTATCTGTTATCTGATTTTCTGTTTGGTAAAAGTAGTATATCATATTAATAAAATAACGTCAGCATGATTTCTTTTATAGTGAAAATAACACTTGTGGACATTAAATCTTTATTTTATATGAAAATATTTTTAATGATTTTTTTTTAACAAGAAAATTTTTAAATTTTTTAAAGTTTTTATCTAATTCGAATTTTATTTATCATAAATATAAATATAATTTATATCTTTAAAAATATTTATTATACAAATTTTAAATATAATCATTACATTCAAATATATTATTTATTTTTATATATAATTTATTATAAATTTTAGTTATATATAATAAATATTTTTTTTATATATTACACGTAATAAAATACTAATTATTCAATATATAATGGTATAATATGTGGATCACATGTCACCCATGCTTGGAAGCTATATATGCTTTTAAGTCGATGTTAATGCACATGGTCAAATTCAACTATTTGAATTCATAATGCCATTAAAGATTCGTAGCATTGTGATGCTATGATTCCATTATATATCATTAGGAATTAAATTTCATGTTATCTTTTTTATTTTTATTTTTTTGTTTCCTTAAATTATGCTTTCTAAAATTGACATTGCTCGTGCAGCCCCATATTAGTGCCCGTACTATATACTACACGGTATATATTATAACTTTTGGTGATAGTCTATTTATATATATTCTTCCACATATATATATATATATATAGCATATTAAATGAGAAAAAATTTATTATGAGAGATAAGAGGGTTAAAATATAATCCTTTAATTAATTAAGTGAGAGAAAATTTGGGATTTAATCAAGTAAAAGAAAATTAATCTAACAGTTATATTTTAACTTTCTCATCTCTCATAATAAATTTTCTCTTACTTGATATGCTCCCTATATATATATATATATATATATATATATATATATGGGGGATGTATATATATATATATATAAATATATATAAATAATTTTTAATACATGCATTATATTTTAACTTTATCAAAATTAATTAAAATTGTAATAAAAGATTGCTAATTTTTAATTGAAAAAGTAGCGGTTGCAAAAATAAAAATATATACATAAAGATAAAAGGACGATAGTTTATAATAATTAAAAAATATTCTTTATTTTTCTAGTAATGAATAAGTACATATAAGGTGTGAAAAACTGCATCATCAAAGAGAGAAAAGAAGAGATGATGAGATTCTAAGAGAGTAAGGAGAATCTCTAAATAGGAATTCAAATCTTTACTTTTATCTTTGTATATATAAAAGTAGGAGAGTCTACATAATTTTTTTGCATAAAAACAAAAATCTAATACTTTCAAAATAATCTCTTTGTTTCATTTGAATCAAGAATTTTAGAAATTTAAACAATTTGAATTACTATAATTTCAATCTTCATTATTTTTTTAAAATATTTTGTTTAGATAAGTTAATTCAAATTTATTAAATTTTAAAATTTTAATTTAAATATGAATTTGATTTTCATATGATTAAAATTGATTATATATATATATATATATTGAGATTTTAAGATTAAATTTTATAAAAAAAAATATTAGCTAATTTTTAAATATTTAATAATTTTAAAAATTAATATTAGAT